ATAAATAAATTCCTGTCCTTTCCTATTCTAACATTTGGATTTGTCGAGTGAAGTAGTTTCCAAGGATACTAAGCAACAAGAGTAGCGGGGTCAGATAAGTTCAGTTATGTTACATTTTAAGCTGTTGATGTGTATTTTTAGCTCGATATTGGAATGTTGTGTTTGTTGTGACCCAGCCAACGTTGTTGTCATATAAGGTCACCACCATGAAATATAAGACATCACCATCAGGATTATCCACAATTTGCATATTTTTGTGTCCAATTAGCTATTCATAAACGAGGGACTAAATCACCCGGGACTAAATTTTCATCATAGGAACCATGGCTCATCATCATGATAAATGTTCATGACATTTCAAATAATGACTATTAGACGAACCGTCTGCTTCTGTCAGTAAGCAGAAGCTGTAATTCATGGAAAGTTTCAAGAAGGGAGTATTATGAATTATGAGGTTCCTGCAGACCAGTTGAATCAAAATATTCAAGGTGATTGAACTACCACTTACAACTTGTGGTTTAAACAAGCCGACTAACTTGGAGATTTATGTTGTCAATAAACTGTGGAGGCCTTACTAGCCAAAAAATGATAATACCTAACTCCTTTTTCGATAAATAATTAAACTAGACATATCGTCAAAAATCAAACCATAAGTGTGTGTATGATCCAAGCAAATCTAGGGTGATAAAAGTGAGGTATTCACCGTAGACACAGTACCTCTAAAAACAATGAGAACAATCCTTTTTTAAATTTTTGGGACAGAGGGGAGATAAGGCCCATTCCATCACAAATCGATCTTTTTACTCGACAATGTCGAAGTTATAGAAATTTTGACCAATTTCCTGATGACGGTTCACATTGGAAATAACAGAGAATTTCAGATACCGTGTAAGTTCTGTATGGGACGGCTATACAATATGATGTGACCAGAAAGTGCAGGCACACACACTGTTTGTGTGTTTAGCCGCAAAATGACGTTGAAACCACTGTTTTCTCGTCATTTCGACGTTACTATGTACCTTCTATTTTATTTTTCACACATATTTATCTTTATTACCATTTAAGCCCAAACCATATTTTATATTACTTTGAACCAATTATATTTCTCTTCCATATTGATTCAAAACACCCACTTGTTTAAATAGCTTTTCCTCCTCCATATCAATGAATTACCGCGACTGCCTAAATCGTCGACATTATTGTTTGCGGATGATGTCAAGTGAAGTGGGGCTGATCATTTTGATCTTCAAACTGACCTAAACGAGTAAGTTAGATGGTCTGAATTTTGAAGCTTAGGAATCAGTAATAGAAAGAGAGTGCTCATACACATCGGGCTGCTTAACAGTTACCAGTGTACTATCGATGGTACACCTGTTCCATGTGTTCAGGAACACAACGACTTAGGGATTATAGTAATTCACAGCTCGGAAACAACTACTCATTGCAGCGCAGCAGCTAACAAAGGGTTTCGTGCGTTATGGTCACTTCGCCGAGCATTCAAATTTTAGTGGTGCCATGATCTCTTTGTGATTCGGTTGTATGGTCAAAACTGCATTGTTTATCGAATGAGCCGGATTCTCTGAGTTTTTTCGTCGAAAGAATGAAGTGCAGAAAGTTTATCAACGACATATTCTGCTGCGTTAGGTTCGTTGTCGGCCGGCTCACCGCTTTATTGAGGCCTATGATCTGACTCCAGTTGTATCGTTTTTGATTGCTATTGAAACATACATATAGTCAATCCTAATATAATATTATCGACTTAACTCGCGTTAATGTATAACAGAATTAAATAAGTTGGATGCGAGAATGAAGTTTTGAATACGTATATTTTATACACTCATCTAGACAGACATTCAGAGGAACGTAACTAAGAAAGAGAAGAAAGCGAATCGAAATAACGTGGAGTGGAGAAGGAATGTGAGCCAACTTCATTTAATGAAGCCTTGATCAATATTTATAGCCGAAAAAAATAAGTTACAGACATGTGATGAGTAGGGTAGGAAAGTAACATACAAACGCTTACATAAATTGTCAGTAAGCCACACTTAGAGTACTGTATCCAAGCGGCTAGTCCATGTCAAATTAGGATACCAACTCACTTGAGCGTGTTCAGCATGTGAAAAAATTTTTGTAGAGGTCATTTCCAAAAACCCATACTACGAGCGCTTAAGACGCCTAAACCTTTTGCTCTTGTCGTATCGAATAACGCAATGTGACCCTTTACTGGCATTCCGTATCTTCGACAACGATTTGGATGATAATATGTCTAATCTTTTTGTCTCCCTCCAGCGCTGACAATCTTGGGGGTCATAGCATGGAGGTTCAAAAACTGAGATCTAATAAACTCAGAGTGGGGTTCCATTTTTCTCATCGAGTGTTCAACGCCCTACCCGAACTAGTATTATCAGCCCCATTACTAAGCATTTTTGAGGAGAAGCTGGACTTTCATTGAAGAAAAAACGGTAGGGATTAGCACAAGTCCACCTATCTGCTGTCTTTATAACTGATGACAGTGGATATTGCATATTGAAACCGAATGTAGCGGTCATTCAAGGTACTCGTTGACCTTGAGCTTCTGCAATTGTTGTTGAGATCTCAGGTCTAGTAATAATATTGTTTGATTTGAATTGAAGATTTCTTATTTTAGTCATATTTTGACAAAACCTGTAAGTCATTTGGTGTTGAATTTAGTTTTTAGTGACACAAATATCATTTTAAGGAATATAATTTCACTACTTATATAGATATTTAGTGGATGGTTTTTTAGTCATCATGATAGTCATTTTCCTTGAGAATGTTGTTATGCTGTACTAGTATTTCACATTTTTGAGGATTCCTCAACACCTTCAAAGCAATGGCTTTCCTCGATCGAGAAAATAACATCGATCGTATTAACTAATACTGTGATTGATAGGATTCTTCACATCTGTTTATTAATTAGACCTCTTCAACAAGAAGACACAGTTTTGTTCTATTTGTGTGACTTGGTTCATTACACCGTCAGAAATATATCCGACATTACCCATGCATGGGCTGCAGCCTGATTTTCTTGACCGCATTCACTCACATCAAACTTCCAAGTATGATTTTGTATTTTGGCTTAAACGGCAAGGTTGTCGGAAACAAATGTACTGATTAATATTCTTCAAGGACTACCGCTTCGTCCAAATATATGTAGTAATATAATAGACATGTTCACAGAAGTGACTTTCATCCGGCTTTTCATTAACATCAACGCGAAAATTTCTGTTGACACAAAGTATAATAATAATAGTCATGTTCCAGCAAAGTGCTATATTTTGAACGTTTTGCACATCGATGGGATAGCGTTTGGATTGTTTTGTCCTCTCCAAATCTAAAATAATACTTCGGGATATATTTATTAGTCAGTCAACTGATAGAGAATTAGTCTCTTGGTCGCCGCGATCACTGAACTTATCTTCAAAGTTTCGACAGTCCTGGAAGACCAGTGACAAACAATATTTCAAGATAAATAAAACAACTTCATCTATATGCAAATGTTGTTGCGAAGCTAGAAGGCAATTCAATTAGCGGCGAGACTCTAATTTAGCGACGAGCCAATCAGAAGCGTTTGAGCAATTTCAAGGTCACGGAGCCAACTTCAACACGCGATGCTAACATACGGTCGGTTCACAGCGGATTTTAGAGAGGAGGTGATTAATGAGAGGTTAAAACAGACGGGATGGCGAAACTCTAATTTAGGGATGAGCCAATGAGAAGCGTTTGAGCAATTTCAATTATTAGCCAATCAGAAGACAGTATAAAGTGAAAATATATATTACAAGAAAGTAATGAATTACAGTGGATATTCTTCTTTTACATGATTTAGAAACTTGTTGAGGTTTGATAAAGGCTCAGAAGTTCTGAATTCATAATGCATATTGTATAGAAACTCGTCCATAGGGTTAGGGTTTGGGGTTAGATTAGGGTTTAGGGTTAGATTAGAGTTTAGGGCTAAGGTTAGGGTTTGGGGTTAGAATAGGGTTAGGGTTAGATTAGGGTTAATGTTAGGGTTAGATTAAGGTTTAGGGTTAGGTTAAGGTTAGGGTTAGATTAGGGTTTAAGGTTAGGTTAAGGTTTGAGTTAGATTAGGGTTTAGGGTTAGGTTAGGATGAGGGTGCTAACATGCGATCGGTTTACATCGGATTTTAGAGAAGAGGTGTCTATTGACAGGCTACAACCCTAACCACTAACTCTATGGACGAGTTTCTATACAATATGAATTATGAATTCAGAGCCTCTGAACCTTTATCAAACCTTAACAAGTTTTTAAATCATGTAAAAGAAGAATATCCACTGTAATTCATTACTTACTTACAATATATTCTCACTTTATACTAACTGTCTTCTGATTGGCTAATAATTGTCAAGGTCATTTAAGATTCGTTTAAAGGTCGTCGCTAAATTAGAGTCTCGCCCAATTAGCTCACTACGAATTCAGTTGTGGTCATGAGCTTCCGTTCACTCATTATTTTAACAGATCGAAGACGAAGAGGCACTAAACATAAGTTGTCGAAAAAAGACACGTTTTCTGTTATTGCATGAGGGCAAAATCATGTTTTCTTTTGTCAGTAGCTGTTTTGCAATACGGTAAATTTCCAACCCAATGTTTCCACGTCGTTTGATACTTACCTATCAGCATGTGGATGTTGAGTTAGAACTCATCCCTAACAACCAGTTACGAGAGCAAATTGGTGTGTCATCAATCCGCAGGTGTTGCTCAAATTCTAGTACATAAACCTCCACATTTGGTCAAAATGTTGCATTTTTTTAAAAAGTATAAATCTATTCACATTTTTTGAGCAGATTAATTTCACTAACATATTCAACATTAGTGATAAGTTCCCCCTTATTTCTCTTTATAGATCCTTCCTGTTGTTCTGGTGTTTTTTTCTCATTTTTTTCAACTGTATACAACTGATCATAATTATTCTTGGATAACAGTCAAGTTAACCTCTTAATTTGAAAAGTACGACTTAATGGACGATCTTCAAAACGCTGTTTTCCTTATGGCGACAAAATTGTCTGTACATAACTCAAAGCCACTATGTAATGCAGAAGTTGTCACTGTTCGTTGTCGTCATGTTGTGAAGCACATTCCTAGACGGTATGTTATGGCATATATCTTATCATTAGCACAAAAGCAATGCTTGAATCTGTAAGTTATTTTTTATTTAGTTTTTCTTACTAGTATTGACTTTTAGTGAGAAAGAAAGTTTTTCGTTTTTGAGCTATGTTCCAGAAGTGTGGACAAGTCTAGTTGATGTTATTAGATCTATGAATTCCGGTAAGTTATAAAACATTTGTTTACTTTTAAATGGCCTTTTAAGCGTTAATTAATTTGGAAATTTTCACGGATTAAATAATCACTGATAGGTATACTTAAATATCAAACCTTGCTTTATTCTTATCAAGCAATAAAATTTTCAACATCGATTTCTTATTACAAGAAAACCCTGCATGAAATGTTAATTTTCTTAACAATGACTGTAAAGCATGCTATTCTTAAGTTAATTTGTTCACATTTGTATTTGGAGTTTTATTATCCCACAATTTTCACTTCTATATGTTTCTTTCATTTTTATATCTATTTAAATTCTGCACATTAATAAACAGATGTTACTTACTTACTTACGCCTGTTACTCCCAATGGAGCATAGGCCGCAGACCAGCATTCTCCAACCCACTCTGTCCTCAGCCTTCTTTTCTAGTTCCATCCAATTCTTGTTCATTTTTCTCATGTCTATTTCCATTTCTCGGCGTAATGTGTTCTTTGGTCTTCCTCTTTTTCTTTAACCTTGAGGATTCCATGTGAGGGCTTGTCTTGTGACGCAGTTGGATGCTTTCCTCATTGTGTATCTTATCCACTTCCAGCGCTTCTTCCCGATTTCTTCCTCCACTGTAATCTTGTTTGTTCTCTCCCACAGTTGGTCGTTGCTAATAGTGTCCGGCCAACGGATCTGAAGTATTTTGCGTAGACAACTGTTAATAAACACTTGTATCTTCTGAATGATGGCTTTCGTAGTTCTCCAGGTTTCCGCCCCATACAGTAGAACTGTCTTTACATTTGTATTGAAAATCCTGACCTTGGTGTTGATTGATAGTTGCTTTGAGTTCCAGATGTTCTTCAGTTGTAAATACGCTGCTCTTGCTTTTCCGATCCGCGCCTTCACATCTGCGTCAGATCCACCATGTTCATCAATGATACTGCCCAAATATGTAAATGTTTTTACATCTTCCAAATCTCCGTCAATTGTGATTGGATTGTTGCATGCTGTGTTGTATCGGATAATCTTGCTTTTCTCTTTGTGTATATTAAGACCTACTGTTGTTGAAGCTGCTTCTACACTGGTCCTCTTCTCTTGCATTTGTTGTTGCGTGTGCGTCAGAAGAGCCAGATCGTCTGCAAAGTTTACCTACATCCTAGATGTCCGTTGCGTCCCATGCTTCTCCGTAGATGTTGACGTCTTCATGATCCAGTCGATCACCAGGGGGAAGAGAAAGGGTGAGAGTAAGCAACCTTGCCTGACACCGGTCTTTACTTCGAACGATTTTGTCAACTGTCCTCCATGCACGATTTTGCAGTTTAATTCATCATATGAATTCTGTATGATAGTGACTATCTTCTGAGGCACGCCGTAGTGTCGAAGAAGCTTCCATAGTGTTGTTCTGTCCACGCTATCAAATGCTTTTTCGTAGTCAATGAAGTTGATGTAGAGTGATGAATTCCATTCAATTAATTGTTCCACTATGATCCGTAGAGTTGCGATTTGATCTGTACACGATCTATCCTTACGGAATCCTGCCTGTTGACCTCGAAGTTGGGCGTCTACGCAGTCCTTCATCCTGTTTAACAATACCCTGTTGAAGACTTTTCCCGGTATTGAGAGAAGAGTGATGCCCCTGTAGTTATCACACTTGCTGAGATCGCCTTTCTTCGGTATTTTGATCAGGAGTTCTTCTTTCCAATCTTTTGGTACTTGTTCCTCATTCCAAATCTTATTGAATAGAATTTGGAGTATCCTTGTAGTTGCCGATACGTCTGCTTTTAGTGCCTCTGTTGGAATGTTGTCTGGTCCTGCTGCCTTGCCACTCTTGATTTGTCTGATGGCTATGCTTATCTCTTCAATTGTTGGTGGGCCAACATCGATTGGGAGGTCCGTGGGTGCTGCTTAGATGTTGGGTGGGTTCAGTGGGGCTGGTCGATCCAAGAGTTCTTTGAAGTGTTCTACCCACCTGTTTTGCTGTTCTCCAATGTTGGTGATTATCTTGCCTTCCTTGCTTTTCACTGGTCGTTCTGGTTTACGGTAATTTCCAGCGAGTTTCTTTGTCTTGTCATACAGTTGTCTCATGTTTCCTTCTCTTGCAGCCTTTTTCACCGTCGTTGTCAGATCTTCCACATATTTACGTTTGTCGGTTCTGATGCTCCTCTTCACTTGTTTGTTTACTTCTGTGTACTCAGCTTGTGCCTTGGCTTTTTCTGCTCCTGTTCGGCTGGTATTGATTGCTGCTTTCTTGTTCCTCCTTTCTTGAATCTTATCCAGTGTATCAACAGTGATCCATTCCTTGTGATGGTGCTTCTTGTGGCCCAGGACCTCATGACATGTTGAAGTGATTGCCTCTTTGACCCCCTTCCAGTTTCTCTCCATAGTAGTTCCTTCTCCATTGAGTAGATCATGAAAGGCCTGGAACTTATTGCTGAGGACTATCTAGAGTTTGTTGAGTTTGTCAGTATCCTGAAGAAAGGCCGTATTGAACTTTCGTGATGTTGTCCGCCTCGTTGTGCAGTGCTTCTTGAGTTCCAATTTCATCTTGGCGATCAACAAGTGATGGTCTGATGCTATATCAGCTCCTCTCTTGGTTCTCACGTCTTCCATCTTCCTCCTGAACTTTTTGTTGATGCAGATATGGTCGATTTGGTTTTGTGTAGTGTGATCCGGAATAAACAGATGTTACTCTTTACTTATCACCAACTACTTGGAAGACACCATTCTCATTGTATAGCCCTGAAGTTTTAAGTTCACTCTCCGAAAAGGGTTTAAACATGGAGACTGACAAAAAATCTGAAAATAAAATAACCACTTTTTCACATCTTAATTTTTAAAAATTGTTGCCAGAACAATTTCCAAATAAATCAAACTTTACTATCAATTAAACACTGATGTCAATAGATTGAGTACTTGCCTTTTATATCTTTAATCCTAAAGCTTCTGTAGTAAATTAGATGTGATTATTAGTGTGTCAAAAGAAATTGTCATTATAATATTTTTGCGAATTAGATTCATCTTTCCCACAGACTTGGAACTAGATTATCATCTTTTATTTAGTTACTACACCATATTTACCCTCACACATAAAGACAAACACTACTTTCAAAAGTGATGTTGATTATAATATTCTTTTTGTATTGTCTAGATAAGCAAAATGTACATTTGTTTTACCTTTTAAATTTGTTGTAATAATGAAATAGAAAGAAAAAATGAAAAAAGGCAATTTGTTTGAACTCGATAACTAGGCATGCATTTATCATTTGTGGACAATGAAAAAAATGGATGGAATATATTGATCATTTGTTCTCTGAAGAAGTGGCTTACACTGGGTCGTAAAACGTCAAAAAATCTGATTTTCTCATTAGGATATTACAAATATACGCTTGTTTTTATTAATTTTGACCATATTCACTTGTTCGTAAAAGTCAACAGCGCTATGCGATAATGAATTTTCGTCTTCCCTATTTCATATCTAAATCAAAGTGTTTCTACCGTGCTTTGTCTCTAAAAAAAAAATACTTTGTTCACATGAAGTGAACCACCAACTGTCACAACTATATCTTATTGGTGTTGGATTATATTTTTAGTTTGGTGTTTAACAGAAGATACTTGTTTCAATCTTAGGGTTCCTATTTTAAAATACTCTTGACCGATAGATCTGTTGTTTTCACCGTCCTGAATTCGCTTAAGTTTATTTCTGAAATTGTTTACTGTTAAACGAACATTTTCAAAGGTAAGTGCTCGTACTCGATACTCGGTGTTAATTGTCCAATTCCGACCATTCTTTAATAAAACTAAATCTAGCTTTTATGCATAGATTTTTTTATTCTAGGAGGTCAGTATGTATTGATGACTATGTTTCGATCATCATTTCGCACATCTTCATATGTAGTTATATCTACGATGAAATAAAATCATCTTAAGTTTGTTTACTATTTATCTATTCTTATTAAATCAATAAAAATAATAAGACAACCACTTTTCAAAGGTGTTCTTTTCTAATCTTCCTCTTATAATATCTTTCTCGTTTCTATTCACTCATCATTAAAAAAGTAATGAAACTTGAACGGTAGTGATTTATACATGTTCATTCAATCAGGGTAATATTGAAAATTTAATCCGGTGCAGCTTATAAAGCCAAGTTTCTAATGTTCGATCACACCGATAAGAATAATAATTGGAAAAAGGTATAATAGGAATCACACTGGAAGAAAGTAGGGAATGACCCATTCGAAATTACTCCTGGAAATCTGTGTAATTAATGAAGAGGAACTTCACTGAAGGTGTGGTGAGCACAGAAAGCTCCCGAGTTCGTTTTTGTCGTTTTCTTGCTAAAAAAATAACGTAAATCTTTCAGACATTTCTGTGAGTTTTGCCTGCTTGGCCTTAGCATCAGGAATTGTTGCAATTGATATTTATCAGGCTTATCTGTAATTTGTTTAGTAAGGTTCAAGATATTACATTTTAATTCCTACGAAACAATATTGACAAACTTCTTTAATACCTAAAGTCTTCTTTTCACATTCGGACTTACAATCGCGTTTGCGTATGTTGTTTGTGAAATTCCTGATACTTTAGTTATACTTAGAGGTAAAGTAAGGCACAAAGTTAAGTTACTAAATGCAGTTACTACCTGTTATTTTGTCTTGAGTGATTGTCACACTTGACTTCAAATATTAAGAACTCTGGCTCAATCCTGACTTTTTTTAACTAAGTGGCAATGCCTATATTATATCTTATTGGGTATGACTTATGGCCGGTTTGTGGATAAGGTTTATTCAATCCGTTTTTCAAGAAACCGTTACGTGGTCATCACCAAAAACGTTTTTCTATCACTTACGTTTTCATTATTTTGTGCTGCTGATCAATCAGTGGGTTTTGTGAACACAGTAAGATGAAAAATATCTCAGGGTCAATAAATTAGCTAAATCTTGGTCATTGACTACTTTATTTCTTGTTCCGATCCCTTTTTGTATCTGTTAATTGAAATCTTGATATAAATAGTCCAGACTTTGTATTATTCTTTCTGTCGGTCTGTACACTACTGTTTTTCTTAGCTTAGTAATGTACAGCAGCACAATTTGGACTAAGCTGGACCAATAAGCTACACAATGAGAAATTAGTTCGAAATCTTCGTCTACTGAAGTTGATGGGGTCGATTAAAGTCACCAGTCATCACCATCCGACAGGTGGCGTTTATGGCACACAACACAAACCTGATCGAGTTTTCTGAAATTATATTCAATAATTTTAATATAAGATATTTAGGTCGCTTCTAAAATTAATAATTAACTTAAATATTTATTTAGAAATTAACGAATACTTTCTGACTATCCTCCAGTAATAATATCAATACTACTAATAATAAAGTTTGTTCCAGGTTAGATAATTCGGTTTTCGTGCTAATTAAGTAGCGCTTGTCGATAGAACCCATAACGTATGACTTATCATTTTAAAGGTAGTTATCCAAATCTTCGATTTAAACATGTATTGATGCATCCCAATTGGAATATACATCTAGAAATAATTGTATCTTGTGACGAGTTGGCTTTTGAAATGTCCTTTTGTATTCCGTGCTTCTAAGCGTCAACAATAAGAATATACAAACCCTTACAAATCTTAGTATCATTCTTCATAGTTAGTGGCCTAATCTACAATGTTCCAAATTGTTGGTTATCGAGTTTAGCAAACCAGTTCTCTTTGGTTATTGAGATGGACTGTTTATACAGGTATCTCACTCATCATGCCCTTATATAATATGACGACAATAAATGATCGATTAGGTTTTACAAAGTAAATAATGTGTCATGTGAACAGGTTTCGAATTATTCGAAGTGTTAAGAGATAGTTTTTATTTTGAGGAGATGAAAGGACTCGAATATCGACTGTTATACAGAAGGTTGGGAGCCTGCCTCAACTGCTACTTCATTAATCAAGGGTCAAGTGACATCCACTAACCACCACATCAATGTATATATGACTGTAATTTTTTACGTAAACTTATCCCTTTTATTCCGTCACCACAATTTTATTACTATCAAAATTGTTTAGCTTGTTGAAGTCGCTGACAAGATCTACAGTTCTTTGATCTTTTTGAGCAACAGTATGAGCATTTCCAGGATACACTTTTCTCCCTGCAAATGCAAAATATTTCTTCAGTACTGGTGTGCGTCAATCCCTAACCCAGTGATATGGAGTAAATTGGTTGAGTGTATTGACTGTTTCACTATCATTGGAAGTCTCAGTCCTGGTGGGTTGGTACTTGATGAAGTCTCGACACGGAGTCAGAAATCGCGGTTAGTGTTTGCTAACTTGCGTTATTGATGACGTGGCCAGAAGCGGTCAAGCCAACAAATTACATCACAACAGAAGCCCTAATCTGTAATATTAAGGGCAGGACGAATGAGACAGTTTAAAGCACAAATGTTAAGAATCAGGGTTCAACATCCAGACCACGATTAGTACTTGATAACGGCTATAAAGAATAGTCCACGAAACAGTTGATTAGAGACTACTGCACGATGTTGCTATAAAGGTGGATAGCGGGCTTTATTATGTTACTCGACGCGTAGCTAATAGTATGAATTTTTTAATCAGATAAGCTAGCGTTCTACAGTCGTCGCAACCTGTGGAGTATTTGTCAAGTAGTCACTGAAAGAAATAACGAAGTCATTATTTTTGACGAGATTGATACGAAAGACACTACTAGAGTCTGTGGAGTTGAACCTACTTTTACTCGTGATACGAACATAGGTAACAGAAACTGCGGCCAAACCAAAGCATGGCATCAGTCCTCTAAGCCACTGACTGTTGGCCTGAGCTATTTTTGTATATGCAGATAACTTGGTCCGAGTCCTCATAGTAACCACAGTCAGCGGTTGGAGACTTTAAGTGACATGGGTCAGAGTCGGTCATAGTGACACAGATGCATTTACTCTTTATCTTTCACTCGATCTTGAATTCTAATATTCCTTCATACCTACCTTTTCATTCCGTCTTTTGGAACCATATTTTCAATATTTAGTCTTTCTCATTATTATTGTTATCACATTATTTCAACTCCTTCATCACGTTAATTTCATCTCGTCGTGTTGTCGTAGTACGGGAACTTGGGGTAAATTACGTTTTTATTAATCTCTATGTTGATGATTACTGACCGACTTCATCATTCCTCATGTGCACATAAATTTTATTTGGTTAGCTTATCCTCCTTGTCAACAACTTTGAGTGCATATTTAGTGTTTCGTATTATATCAATGTTCTCAATGTTTTTTACGTAGTATTACAATTAATTATCTCTGTTTATTCTCTTTTTTCTTCATTTATTGCTCGGTGTCTTTCACCTTTCGTCTCACCCGAACCAACTAATAATTACAATTAGATAATTATGATTTTGGTTATATACAGACAGTCGCTTTAGAATCATTGAAGAAAGCTATTAAGCTATGTCATGATACAATAGACAAAACATTATGTCAATATTATTATTCACGTGCTTCACTGAATTCATTAAATTTATTATTGGATACACATTCAATTGTGAACAGACGTAGACGTCAAGAAGATCGTTGGTTTGCTGTTGCGGATTTACTGTCTTATGTTCCCTCGTATAAAAGCCATGTAAGCATACTAATAAATGGGTACTTTTTAAAATCGCCAATTGTTGTCATTACTGTTATGAATTCAACTTTTTATATACCTACTAAATATGCCCGTGCATTAAAATCACTCAATTATAGTCGACATTTACGAGGAGTTGGGTTTTCTCCAACAAGATCAGTGACCTTTACTTGATTCGAATAATCGACAACTACTTGATATCCTACTAGTTCATGCGGTTCCTTCTATCCCCGATGATGAGTCTAGACAGAAAGGCGAACAATTGATTTACTCTCTATAACTGTATTGTTCCATGACTCAAAAATTCACATAATATTATTGACTAATTATAAGATCATGCCACAAATAAGAAATAATGATTTGTATATATTTAAGTTATTTATGATACAAATTTGAGTAATAGGTGAATAATCAATTAATGGTAGAATATGCATCAACAGTTAGTAAGTTAACTAAAAGCTTACAATAAGAAATATTGGTAATTATTTTCCGTAGAATAATTCTAAAAGTTCTAACTTGCTCAACTATTCTCTCATATTAAACAATTACATTCTAGTAAGTAGCTAATTATATACAATCGTGCTACTGTTTTCAGTTTCTGGACTAAGCAAACTATATTTCAGCACAGTAAAACTTAATGTACTTGACTTTCAGCTACAATTTTGTATCTGAGCGCCAGTGATGGTACTTGGATTCACAAAGTGCAAAGTAAGTAGGATGTAGTAGTGAGTTATTAACCTGTGATTTAGTGATTGTGAATGTCAGGTGTTTTAGTCATTCTAGATATTATTTCACATATGGGTTACAGTGTAGATGCATTGACTTTTCAACCACTGATTTCGATTTAGTTATTTGAAGTTCAATCGATTCCTAAATGAATATATCACAGAGAACAACCAAATCACAGTTATATATATAAATGTGTAATAAATTGCAAGTATTTATTATTTTTAAAATTCACATTTAATTTACTGTTTCACGGAAACATACTTCATGATCTATAGTCGTCCATTAAAGAATGTTTTATAAGTTTCCACTATTGATAATTCTCAAGTGTAGACGGAACAGCTATAAAAAAGTAATTCCAAAGCTCATTGAAAGCGATCCTATCAAAATTCTCGATTGATCTCGATTTCAATCTTAATATAGATAATTGGGAGCTAGCTATAAAACCAAGCGAATTTTGTCTGACCAATTTGTTGAAAATAAAAAAATACAAAAAAATTTATTGCATGTTCATATCTTTCTTATGATCTATCAGCTGATCGATAACTAAATAAGTGGCTCAATTAGTTTCATTCCCTTCCGTTATAAGACATAGTAAATGGTAACTTGTTGTTTAATGTGTGAAAGTAATTTCTGTCACAATCAGTTGGAAACTGGATATTATTGAATAATTCTTTAGTCCTGAGTCGTGACTCTTCAATAGTGTCTACTCATGGGCCCTTACAAACAATCGGGTACAGAGCCTTTAGGCCTTATGGCGGGCAGGATACTTCAGACTGTGAAACTAGCTGATAAGAGTTCGAATTTTACAGAGAACGTCAATTTCCCACAAGAATGCAGGTGCGTCCTGCTGACAAGTGCAAATTAAGATGAAATTTAGGTCCAGGATTTCATGTTGACTACCTCCAATCACCCAACATACATTCAGATCATTGAGCTGGAATATAATAGTTTACAGTTTTTCGTGGTATGACACGACCATTATTCAATAGTTTCAGCATGGTTAATTCCATGATCTGCAGTTTTATGCTCTTTAGAGATGCATAGATTTCCTAGATGTTTATTCTCTATGTTAAAAGATTTATTAATCCACTTAAATGTAGTTTCATTTGATATGGTTTCATTTAATCATTCAGGGAAGTATTTTCACACATGAACCCATTTACGACTTATGTGTAAACAACTTGGTAAGTATGATCTCGTAAACACTTAGCTTCCGATTGAAATTGTAGAAAAAATGCAAACTATTTTGTTAGTAGGGTAACCATTGTTTTGATTGTTAAAAATGTTGTCTAAGGAAATATTTTCGAAAAATCCTTCAATAATTAGGAATAATCCAGCTAAAAATATGTGTAAAGTAAACGTTTATTGATTTTAATAGGATTTCTTAATTAGATATTAGGTTGAAAGTGTTGTGAAATAAGATCACGTTACATGTTAATAGATGGATAAATAGACAGATAGGTGCAACAATATAAAATCTTATTCAGTTAGCTGAGGAATTCCTAATGATATTCCTACTGAGATTCAAACTCATTATTCATAGTTTTAGATGTTAGACTTTGGTCTACCAGACTAAAGTTACAATAATCAAAATTTGTTACATAGATATGATATATTATTGACTTCTTGAAGATCAGAATTTTCCATTTGTTTATTTTCATATTGAATTGATCAATCTCTATTAACTAGTTACAAGTACGATAAGAATCGCTCTCCCTGAATCCATTTGTTAAGCTGTCAAAACGTTATCATTATATGAATGTAAACAGTTTGCAAACATTTGAATAGGAAGGCTTCTAATCCTCCTTATTCGTTTTACCATTCATAAGAAATAATCAGTTTTCATGATTGGCTAAGACATCCAGTCATCTGATGTAACAGTGAATACCTTCTTTTGACAAATACAAATCATATCAGAAGGGGTTTTGTGGATATTATAGTAATAATATCCACAAAACCCCTTCTGATATTAATCAACATATACTCACTAGTGACTGGCTTCAAGAGGTATTACATAGAGTTCTAGTGAGAAGCAGTGACCAGTGGAGTTCAACCAGGTCTGTTGTGAGATAGTAACTCACTGATGACAATGGTGGGTGTGTTGCTCGATTTCGTGGATTAGTTGGAGTTAGACGTTAACACTGTTGGATGCCGGCCGGCTCAGTGGTCTAGTGGTTAAGCGCTCGCGCGCGAGACTGTTAGGTCCTGGGTTAGAATCTCACGAGGCAGGGTCGTTGATGCGCACTGCTGAGGAGTCCCACAATCGGACGAAACGACCATCTAGTGCTTCCAAGTTTTCCATGGTAGTCTAGCTTCAACTGACTCATGATCTCAACCATTGAAAATACAAATAATATATTCCTGTGGACTGTAAAGCTAGTTTTGTATAAACATGTGTGTGTACGTTAAAATTGCGAAATTGAAGATGATGACACAATTGGTTGACATTAAATACCGGTTGATTCGTATACAGTGAAGTAGTTGATGATATTCAAGTCTATTCTCCAAACTCATTGGAAACGTTGCATGAAAATAAAAACGAACTTCCAATTGACAAAAGCTTGTTAAATGGAGAAAGTTCATTGCGATCACTAAAAAACTGTGTGTGAGAGACAATCTAACAACTATCATGTCTTGACCTACGCCTGCTCTCTCCTAAATACATCTATTTCGGAACTTTTCAACTCACACCAAAAGTGTCATGTTCTTCAGTTGACATTTTATACCTTAATCATGTTTAGGAAATATTTCATCTAAAAATTTTTTTTTAACACTAACAAGGCATTCTATGCTATAAATGAAATGTCTGTACGACACTTTTAAGCTTTCAATTATTTTGAATGCATTTTCTTTCCTTCCATTTTAAACAACATTAAATATTACTATGTAGGGTTTGTGAAGACGGTCATTTTTCGTAGTTTAGATAACGAATTGACAACAGTCACACAATCATTGATAACCAGGGAACACTAGACATTTGTTCTATTCTTGTGCAGGACTCCTCATCAGTACACATCCAAGACCCTACCAATAATCCAACTCAGGACCTTCAAGTCTCGCGACAAGTGCTTAACCTTTAGATCACTGAGTTGCCACCCAGTCGTTTACATACCTAGGTCTAATCAATTCACGATATCAGTTTACTGCTCATCGTTTGACAGGGGACTTAACAAATCTGCCAAAAATTAGTGATTTTCAATTCTATTCATCACTTAGTATAGTTTTCATCTATTTTCTTTTTGCTTGATTTTCTTTAACTTTACACAGATTGACCAATCATATCTTACAGATTTTTCACCAATCACGGCATTCGGTATTTTCGATGGTCATAATGGTCCAGAAGTGGCTGAACACTGTTCTCACCTTACACCGTATTTACTAAGTATAGAGTTACAACGACATATTTTATCATCGTCATCTAGTATTAATCGTAATTATTCTAAATGTATACCAGATATATTAGCCGAAATCTTTCATCGATTGAATAAATCAGTCAACAGTGGAAGAGCACAAAAGGTAATAATAGAATACACTTTTCGCTTAACAAATATATGTATATATATGTTGTTTCAGTGCTTATTTTTGTATGAATATCGGTACATTTTTTCTTACTGTGATATATGTATCGTTCTATAAAAGTTTGTGTGTATGCGCACGAGAAAAAGAGACTAATGTATGCATTATGTTGCCATTAATGTGTGAAACAAATGAATAAATATTGTCTTGTTCAATAGAGCAATAGTGTCGTTGTACAGAAGTGTCCATTCATTCCAGTTCATCTACTTGTTTTTTCATAACTAACATTAAGAGAGAGAGAGAGAGAGAGAAAAAAAAATCGTATCCGACTTTATAAATAAATTGGATCAAACAGATATGTTGTATGATCTAAGAAAGGAAATATAAAATGTATAGTTAACAAAACTAAAGTGGATAATGTTAAAAGTAGGTGAAGTATTTGGAATTAGTGTTTTCAGTTTTTCTTGTCACGATAGCTTTCTTATTATTTGGTGAATAACAAGTATGTAAAGACTACTTATATCTATTGTGTCTTGAGATTGATTCAATTAGATCTACAGTAATTGTCTAATCACGAACGATCGAGATCCTCATAATACATAACTGTGTTCTATAGCGGACTCGATAGAATGGCAACTGACACAGTGTCAGCAGTAATCCTCAAACAACGGGACCCATGAAGACAGGTATGCAGAAAAAGCTTGATATTCAACGAGGACAAAATTGAAGTAAAATAATTCTGTGCATTTAGCAGCAGAACATGGGACATAGGAAAATTAGTAAACTGAAGGCGATAACGGCCAATCAGAAACTGCAAAGGCCTAGCGGAAATATGGATTCGAAAAAATGTACTCTGTCTATCATTACGAGAAATAAGTAACATCTATTTACAAATGACTTGATAACTTGAGGTTTTCCCAGCAATATCACTCTAAATCAAATCAGTCGGTGATATTCTTAATTAGTTGACGATTTCTTGACTTGTTCTTCGTCCACCTTGTTCCACTTACTCATTTTTTTTACATGGTTCGGACTAACAGTCATTTTATTCGTGGACCAATATTGTATTTCGGTCGAGTATCTCTGCCTTTCTTCCGATCTGATTCCATGACAAATAACGTAGCGTGTTAGGGTAGGCGGTTGGTAAATATTCATAATATATATGACCCAATAGTTTCAACCAATTAAAGTTTATACATACTCAGTGGTTCCATCATACGTCATTATACATCCAAAGATACTTGTGGCCACTCACTAACAACTTAATCATATCTTCAATCCTCAATGGACATATTCCACACCCGCAAACAATAGAGAACAATATGGAACATCGTATTTTCACTCTGAAAATGGCATAAGTTGGTTATAAGTAAACCAATTTTCTGTATGACTCCTTGGGTTTTATCAACTATTAGACCACTAGATCTTATAAATTTCTTAGGGTAAATGTAGTAGTCAGTGGGATCAACTACTTCATCGTTGTTTGTTGTCAAATTAGACATCGACACAGATTAGCTGTAAAGCAGTGTTCATAGTTAATGAGTAACAAATTCTAATATCTTCAGCATCATCATTTAACAACATTGTATCATTTATGTGTGCCTAAGATCTATCAGCAAAATCTTCGAGTAAGCTTATTCAATCCTGTACATGTCGAATAACTTCAGTATAACTTTTCAAGTTGTAACTATGGTAAAAGTAAATAAAACTTGGCAATTACCTATTTCAAATATTCTTCTTCTAATAGGTTATAATTCAATAACTGGTTTAATAAAATTGTTGTTGTTAGTAAATTCATACTCCCTCGAACTTCATCTATGTTATAGATATGTGATACTTTATTTATTATTACCTTTCTACTTTTCAATGTTTTTTTTTGTTGATTTACACCATATCAGTGACTGAATACGACACTTTTATATTTATATTTTCAAAAGATTTCTAGTTCTCTTTCCCATGTTAAATAACTTTTTGTCACTATGTAATCAATATGTATCTCTTTTTTTTGTTAAGTAAGTATATAGCCGTTTTTGTTATAATGATCTTCTCTTGTGTCGAAAGCCTACCAATTAGTCATTCATTTATTCATTTAATCGAAAAGAGGGTTGTAGTGAACGTAAGTATTAAGCTTTGACTATATACAATGAAACACTCCTAACTTCAATTCTTTTAACATTGAATTTATCAATCATAATAAAAGTTATCCTCATTATTACATAATGAAATCTTCATAGAAATAAATAATTATATCTTATAATCATTGACAATAAATTCTCTGATGTATAATCTGTCGTTTGATACTGCCCTCTTAACTTATATAGGCTTGATATTTTTAATCAATGGTCAAATGATTGAGATGAATCAGTTATATACATCTCTTTCTCTCTGTATGCCTTTGTTTACGTAATTTAGTCACATTCAGATTTAGTCTGTGACGTTGTTTTCCAAAAAAAAAGAACCACATTTGTATTACTTATTATTTTTTTCATAAGCATATTGATGCATGAAAAATAAATGTACTCATAATATAATTTTAGTATGTCTGATATCATGCAAATTTATATATGTGTACCCTTAGTTATAAACATACATATACTACTCAACACATATACATAGACAGTTGTATCAATATGCACATGTACAAAAAGAAGACGTTTATGATTGAGTGATAACACAAGTTTTGTTTGTTTACATGACTTCATTTAAATCTATCACGAATCATCCTGTTCTCATTAGTTCTTCACTGTTCTCTTCTAACTTAATTATTTCCAATTGATTATTATCATTAGTTTTGTTTATTTGTTACACTTCCACCTACATAGCATTACCATTTTTAGTTTGTACAAGTGTTTATATTTTGCCATTGTTAATGTTAAGACCTAGGATTGATTTGTTTCTATTAATATATATGCATCCTGAGCAGATCACTTCGATATTACTATTTAATCACAAGTTTTTACAGGATAATTGAAGTTGAATAATGGCTAATAGTGAATCTAACGACAACAGCTGGACCACATGCTTTAGTGATCTCCGGGCTTAATGTATCAGAGTTCACTTTTGTCCTTCTCTGTATACTAGGTATTGCCTTCTCAACCTTGATTGATAACAACAGGCTAACTGGAAACTAGTTAAACCGTTCCTCGAAATTTTCCACCCATATATATGGTGATTTTGTGAATATTTTTGTATGTTTTGAGGGTAAATTTCATTGACTCAATACCGTGCTCCTCACAAACCTAAAATTTTTGGGTTGGATCCTATGAGGTTTCTGAGTATGCACTACTGAGTACACACCGGTGTATATTCATAACAGAAACACGTATGTACGTGTTTGTGTGTGTTTATTACTTGACTACATAAATGCAAATAGCAAAACAAGTGTCTAATAATGTCTAATTTAATTCTTGATTCTGAAGACGTGGTTATTTCACCTTTTAATGTGATTATTGTCACCATATCCTTCGTGTTAGACAGAAACTTAAGAGAGGTGGGGAAGAGACGGAAATTACTTATTTTTGTAAATGATATCTAGAACGATTGTATATAGTTAACAGTTTTCTAATATGTCGATATGTATATAAATAAAAAGGCAGTACACAACTGAAATTTTGTTTTTCAATGAAGAATTTGTTCATATTTATTAGTGAAAGTTGTGTCTTTATAATGAAAATATCGTTTGCATGAAAAGTAATCGAGGTATGTTGTGTACACGTTTATGCATGTATGTATGGTCATTTGTGTATGTGTGTGTACGTCTGTATTTATTTCTGGATCATAGATATTTGTTTTATAGGATATTGTCTTGGCGGTATGCACATTTTATTATTTCATATTTTAGTGAATTGAACGTGTCTTCATTCTACTAGATACTGACTATATAAATGTACATACATATTTACGTTAGGTAGTACTAACATTGTTTTCTTAGTGTCTAGATACCTCTCGGTATGCAAAATAATTCTGTCTGTTATAGAGTGATCTCTTTTATTGTACTGAATAAAAGTTCAACCAGTTTGTTGTTTAGCTCTTGCTGTGCATTGTCATTGTGACTTAAGTTACTGGACTGTCGGTTTCAGTTTCTATGTTTATTTGTGAGTAAAAAGCCATTATCAAGCGCTGACCTCGAGACTTGAATTCAGTCCCCATTGGGACCGTAGGTTCTCATTGATGAGGAGTTCTACATTAAGGCTAAAGCTAGCTGATCAATGCTTCCTGATTTTTAATGGTTTTCTAACTAAGACCAATCCCTCATGTAAACTTATTAATGTGCATCAGTTCGAGTTTTTATTATAAAAAAATTTAAACAGTACTTGGATGCTAAAACAGAGACTTAGAAGGATCACAACAAATAAAAAGTATCTTGATGCTTAATTTAGGGCTGTCTCACTTCGAGTTTTCAGTATTTATATATTATTTAATTGCATAGTATTTATTAAAAACTATTCTTCACTCAACTATCGTCATATCAAGACAAGAATTGAAAGGGAACAATAAACTCGAAACGCCGAGATACATTAGTACAAGACACCAGGGTTTATTTAAAATGTACATCAGAATATTCTAGCATCTTGATTTGTCCATTGGCTCTGATTATTTAAAAAGGGATGAATCAACGCGTTTTGGTGTGAATCTGATCGGAGCATACAATAGTCAAAACTTCTTCCTGTTAATAAATAACCTTGACGTTTTTTTATATATTTCAATTCCATTTCTACCTACACAAAATGTGTGCTTTTAGTTAAATAATAATTTTATAAACGCATAATAATATACATTATGATCACTTTATTTCATTGATATCCATAATCTAAAATTGAACTTCCATCTTTGTTGCCAGAATTTCATGATTCACAATGATTCCATTGCACAAGAGTTTCTTTTCCTTCAAAATTATTTATCACAAAACTCATGTAACAATTCCGATACAACTCGAGGCAATCGGTCATAATTAAGTTAATGTATTCGTTCGTTATTTTCCTCTAATTATTGAATTTAGTACTGGTTAGCTGAATCACTCACACTCGAATAATACACACACACACACACAATATGGTATATTAATCAATTTATTCATATAAACAAATACTTTGAAATAAATGTGTCTCTATTCTTTCCATACTTATCCATTGAATCTTAGTTTTTCTGTTAACTTCACTGTGTGGTTATTCTTTGTTTGGTGTTGGTTTTATTCTGTAAGAAAATCAATAAATCTTTGTATTATATTTCCACTGTAACAGCTTTGTAATTGACAGCTTAGATAAAGATAGTACTTAAATGTGTGTGAGAGTTTATGTTTGTGTGTGCCCACTTGTATGGGAAAAACGGGGACAGGCCAAGATGATTCTTCCTTTTTTTTTTAATCTCATAGATGCTTTCTCGAAATGTTTGCAACATTGTTCGATGTCTTTGTTATTTTCCCCGTCATTTCTTTCCAGTTAATTTTTCTTATTAAGTCGCTTCTATTTTTCTCTCTTTGTCCACTTCCTCATAAGGATGTTGTTTGATAGAGGTTGATGAACAGGTTTTATTTTTTCAATTTTATTTCCTTATGTCTCCCTATGCATATTCTTTTATTTATGTATTTCTTTTCTTATATTTATGAAAGAATTCGTAATAATCTACGTTCTTTGTGTGTGTCAATGTCCATGCAAAAGTCCTACTCACTTAAATATGTGTCATTGACAGCGCTTTTGTTACTGCTAATATTTTATTATCCTTTATCAACTGAATAAAGTTGTTTTGTATTCTTTGTCCTCGAAAAGCCAGGCTATCAAATGAGTTTTCTTGAATTAGTGAATTTAGAAATCCAGGATGTTGGTTCCATCCTATGTAGAACTTGTTAAATCAAATTTAAATGGTACATATCAGCAATGGAGTAATCTAAATGCTGATTAATAATAATTTAAACAATATACTCATTGCAAAAGTTAGTAATAATATGAACTCAGTAGTTCAGTGGGTAAATCGTCGGCATTTGAAGCCAATGGTACTGAGTTTCAGTCTGAACATGAACATGTCTACTTGTTTTTTTAAACAAACAAAACAGAAAAGAGTACATCATATGTTTTCATTTTAAAATATGTTCAATTTTCGACATTCAAGGAATTTGAAATCTTAAGTTACTTATTATTATTATTATTATTATTATTATTATTATTATTATTATTATTATTATTACTCATATAGAGTAAACAAACTTTTGTACGGCATCAGTCAGTCAGATGGAATAACGTCTAACTCTCAGATCTTAGCTAAAATATTAGTCCACCTAATCGCTAGAATTGGACCACCATCCTTAAAGACCTCTGGAGCCAACCCATCTGGACCAGCTGCCCTTCCTCGTTTCAGATTAACTATAGCCTTTTGAACTTCTGATAGAGTTGGGGGACCTACTTCAATGTTCCATTCACACTGTCTGGGAATGGAGGGTAGTTGTAGAGTAGCTGAAGGCCAGCTGAACTGTTCTCTGAAATGTTCCGCCCATCGTTCTAAACGTCTGGATTGGGAGCAGATGTAATGAAGTTATAAGCAAAGATGGATAGTGACTAGCAGTGGAATCCAGGATACGCGTTTCGTCCTATTTCGGACTCGTCAACTGGATGTAACATCTCAGAGTTGATGTTCATCTTTCCTTATAATGCTTGTGACTTAAGGCAATATCGAGGCAATCCGCACAGGATGTACATATGCTAATAAGAGACTGATCAGTTGTAGTCCTAAACATCAATGAGAAGATTCAAATCAAAAATGAATTGTCATGAAGTTATTTAAAATTTTGAAAAAATTTTTATATCTACAATCTTTCGGAATTAACAAAACAAAATTTGTATAACCTAACTGTAATTGAAAGAGTCAAATTATCTATCAACTTAAATCAGATGTCTTCTAATATAACCATACTTTTGATTAATCACTAAGTCATATCATACTTGTCTAATGCTGATCGAATTCTATCAATCAAGTTACAATATGAAAACAAATCTAACCGATTTGGCTAACATGACATTGGTCACTATTCAGTGATTAGTCAATTATAAAATTATAATACATTATAAAAATGTACATTTGTAATTTTTATTTGAAACCACCTATTTTCTAAATATCAAGATCTTATCAATGATACAAGCAAATGAACTGATGCAATTTATTACCACAACTAATGATGAATGTGAAAAAAAAGATTTGCATCTGATTGAAATAAGAGGTCACAATCAATATAGGTCTGAGGTTTTTTGACGACTGCCTCCAACCATCTTACATCTCAATACAGTGTACGTAATATCGGATTACTTAGATAATTAGGGGTCACATTTCAACTTTTTGGTCGATGGAATTCCTTAACTATTAAGCAGAACTAAACAAATGTGACATTGGTGACTGTTTTTTTGGCACAAAATTAGTTCAATTAGTTTAGTAGTAGCTTTTTTCCAACGTATTCCTTAATACATTATAAAATATAGTGTTTTGTCCAAGGTATGTTTATCATCGTTCCGCTTTCAAGTTCGCAAGGGTGGGATAGCGGTGGTTTTAGTCTTTACTTAAAACATGAATTCAACACTAGATATATAACGAAGTCTAAAGCCACCGCGCGTTTTCCATTTTCGTGGCCCATATTTCACATTTCGAGTGACAAGCAGTGGACCTTCATCTTAGTTGGTAGATCGATATTTCGCATACGCCACAAACGATCCAAGTTGATAAGAACTAACTGAATTTTCTGAATATATCCTGAGATTATGTCTGACACCATTTCACTAGTAGTGATTTTTCCCTGGGCTGATGTGAAAACTCTAAATGCGAAAAATTTGAAGTGGCTTTCGATTTTCACTAGCCAAATTACTAACGTGAACACAGTAAAACTTTGATTATAACGAAAATGCACCATTCATATATATATATTCTTTGGTCCCGTTTTATCTACTTGTCATTGTTATTTTTAAAAATAACGTACGTTTATATTCCATTGCCTAATTTCAAACTTATTTCCTAATCTCATTGTTACGTAACTATTCGCTATATTTAACCGATTATTTTAAGTTAAGCTATTCTTTCACAATTCAAATTAACAAGTGATATTTAGTACCCGTCTCATCCCAGTTTTATTGTATGATATTGACTCTACTGCAATGTATATCCCGGTTACTTCGTATACACTTTGTCAACAAATCACTTTAGGAGACAGCATTCTGAACTTTCAATCTGTTGGCTTAATGCGCAAAACAGTGGAACAACGTAAGAAGGTACCGTCCCAGGGCAGCTGGTGGTTAATACCTCGTTCGTTCCCTCAGGATCTAGAAGTTCATGTACAACATTGGTTTGAAGTTAGGGTCTTTTTTAACTGCGCCTTCCGTATCCACCATCCTAGTTTAAACCCTGAACGTTCACTTTCCATCCTCTCACTTTCGTAAGCAACACACCTCATAAAGATGGCTGATATGACCTCTTTGTAAGAGTTTATGAACGTATGGCTATAAGAGAGCGTTTTTAGAAATAGAGGACTCCATTTACCCTCGATCGTACCACAATATTTGGGAACCAGCAATTAGATCATCGACACAGGTTTGAAAATTGTTGTTCTTCATTGGAAAGCCGACAAACAATACAGTTAAAAGTTCTTTTTCACACTAATGCATTTAGAAATTTATTTCACCATCCGGAATGAAGTTTATTTATATACTTTAGTAAGTACTTGATCATCCCACTACAAAATGGTCATCATTCTAAATATTTTAACCCTGAGCAATGATTTTTTTAATGCAACCAGGTAATATTGTTCAACTTTATATAACTATCTCTTTGTATTATGTAACAGGTATTATGTATTTACAATTGAACACACAATTCATTGTCTTCTGATTTTTTCTTCCCAGGAAGTGAATTATTAATTATCGTAAATCTCATAGTTTACGTCACAAATTTTTCTTAAATAACCATTACAAAATAAGAAGCACTAGATATCTGTTTCTTTCTAGGATATGTCTCCCCAGAAATGCATAGATATGACATTGACGGGGATTGTAACCGGGACCTTCAGGTCTTTCAACATGCGCTTAACTTTTGGAATTGCTGAGTTGGTATCAAATGATTTGCACTTCTAAGTTCCATCAACTTGGCGTATTTTGCGACCGTAAATTCTTCAAACTTTCAGATTTCAGAAAAATAAACTTTCAGACTGCTGTCTACCAACTGAAGGATGATGATAAAACGTGAAATTTAAGCTTAGAAGAACCACCTACTTTCTCATCATTTAAATGGTGGATGCTAATCGAAACGAGACAAATCATCTCATGTCTCAGGGCTATACGTGAGTAGTGTGTTTTTTCTATCCAAAGTCATTTCCCACATGACGTTGTCGGTGTCAGCCTGAACATCTATAAATATGCGTCAGTTATAATGGTAGTTTTACGCAGCTTTTGACAGTGGTAGCATTAGTAGCAGTATTCATAACCTTGCCTTTACCATGGGTCGTAATTCTTATACTACGCACTTCTACTGAGATCTACCAAGTATAGCTTATTGTTAGCGTGCTATTACTAATTTCTCATTTTTATTTTTATTTTTTTATCAGTTTTGGAATTCTGGTACAACAGCTACAATATGTGCATTTGCTGGTGATACTATATGTACAGCTTGGGTCGGTGATTCACAAGCTTGGCTTATTTTTCCATATACAAATGATATTAATGATGATGGTATTATTAATCATAATAATATATTAAAAAGTAATTTTAATTGTTGCAATAGTAGCGTACAAGAGAATAAAAACAATGATCGTACTACTAATACTATTAGTAGTAGTAGTTTTCATGAGTCACCGGAAAGAATGTCTGTATTAATGGAAATCCCGTCATCGGATAAAAATCTCATTGATAATAATAATACACGTGTTATCAAGTCGACATCGTTGAATATTATGCCTGATCGCTTGTCATCATCATTATGTAATGGAAGTATGCCTACTAGTCAAAGTGCTTCAATCATCGAGAAGCGTCATCATCAAAAACAAAATACTCCACAGTCGGCAATTGAAGTGAAACATTTCACTGAAGACTCTTTCTCATTATTAATGGATCAGGAGAATTCCATGCATAATAACAGTAATAATAATGATGAAATGGATATAAATGAATATTTAGGCATTGCATTAACTGATTGTCTACATCGCCCAGAATCACCTGTAAGTCGAACTGAAATTCAATGAATGAATTTTTACACTATTGGTTCAATATTTTCTTTCAGTCAAGTAAATACTGTATACTGTAGTCCGTTTTTTGTTCCTTTTCCAAAAAAGAATCTTTCCGTTAATTTTCTGTCGAATATATCAGTTCACTAAACACTTATTTTTCTTATATTTTAAGTAGACTGATAATGTCATATTTATTTATTATTTATTTATTTATTTGAACACATAAATATTGGTACAAGAGAGCGCCAATATATATGCGCCACACAAAACAATGGGAATTCGAAGAGAAGTAGAAAGAAAAAAAAAAAAACTAAGGAACGCAAAAGAAAAAGAGAGTAATGACGAAGAGGTACAATCAGAAGAAATCTTTCAGGTAAAGGAGACAACCACTTTTTATGAAGAAAGTAAAAGAAGGTTACAGCAGGATCGCCACTGGCTTCTATTCTGAGCCATATCTGATAACGTCTCTAGCCACTGTGTTGCACCATCTCTCGGACCCCAACCAGGGAGTCGTGAAGGACCAACACAAGCCAGTCCTTTGCAGCTTTCTTTCATGCCACGACACCATGTCATGCACTGACCACCTCTCCGCTTCTTCCAACCAGTCCCAGAGTCGGCAAATAATGCACGACGTGGAATTCTCTGGGACGACATTCGGAGAACATGTCCAAGCCACCGAAGTCGGTGTTTCAAGATGGTGACACCAATTGAGTTATCATCTCTGTGCCCGAACACACGATGCCGAACCTCTGCATTACTGACATGGTGTTGCCACTGAATGTCAGCAATCCTTCGGAGACAGCGATGATCGAACACAGAGAGTCGTCTAACATCCTCAACTCGGAGAGGCCAGGTTTCACAAGCATAGAGCAAAACTGCTCTCACCGACGCGTTGTAGATCCGGCCTTTTACAGCCAGACTAACATCACGAAGGCGCCAAAGGTGGCCCAGATTGGCATAAGCCGCTCTGGCTTTCACTATTCGTGCATTGATCTCATCACTCACACCCCCACCAGCACTTATGATGCTACCCAGATACACGAACTTCTCGACTACGTCTATCTGCTCACCATCCAGGGTGAGTACAGGATTAGAATCCTGCCAGTCTTGTAGAAGTACTTTGCACTTCGAAGGTGCAAAGCACATACCATACCTACGGACATTGATTGCCAACTGATTAAGTGCGGATTGCATGCCTTGGGCATTATCGCACAGTAAGACAATATCGTCCGCATACTCAAGGTCGAGAAGTCTTTCTCCAGGCAACAGATCCACACCACCATTACTTACATTCATCAGAGCTGTTTCCAGAATGTCATCGATGGCAAAGTTGAAGAGGAATGGTGAGATTGGGCAACCCTGCCTAACCCCACTGCTCGAATGGAACAATGGAGAGAGGTGGTTGTATGCCCTCACTCTGCCTGAGGTGTTTTTATATAGGGCTTTTAGGATGTTAATAAACTTCTCAGGCACACCCTTCTTCAATAGACAATCCCAGAGAACAGTCCTATCCAACGAATCGAAGGCAGCCCTGATGTCAAGAAACACTACGATTGTTGGCCTTTGAAAAGTATGGCGGTGTTCTAACATTTGGCGGAGGGTGAAGATATGATCAATACATCCTCGACCAGAACGAAACCCGGCCTGCTCCTCGCGAGTCAATCTTTCTCGGGTTTTGAACAACCTACGAAGAATGACGGAAGCCAATAGCTTGGACGCAATCGGAAGTAAACTTATCCCCCGATAGTTGTTACAAGAACGACGTGAACCCTTTTTAAAGATAGGGACAACTATCGACTCATTCCATGACGTTGGTACACTCTCTAGATCCCAAACCTTTGTAAACAACGTCGTCAATTCCTTAGTCAAAAAGTCACCACCATCTTTAAAAAGAGCCGGAGGTAAGTCATCTGGGCCAGGTGATTTGTAACGCTTCAAGAGTTGGAGTTCCTTGCGGACTTCCTCCTCATTTGGTGGATCAGTCGTCACCGGCCATGGAGGGCAGGACAGTCTGACCGATGTTGCCGGAGCAGCAGGCCAGTTGAACTGCCCTTCGAAAAATTCTGCCCATCGTCCAAGACGTCGATGGATGTTAGTGATTGGCATCCCATCATCCTCGCAGATTGTTTCACTCACACCAGACTTCTTGCTGCCAGTGGCTCGGATGAGTTGGAAGAGCTTCCGGTAGTTACCAGATGCAGCTGCTGCTTCCAGCTCATTAGCACGCATCGACCACCAGGCTTCTCGGTCCTTACGCAAGCTTTGCCCGATTTCCTTACGTAAAAACCTTCGTTTATGGTCAAACTCACGGTTACCCGGAGTAGACCGACGGGCTTCAATGAGTTGTAAGGAACCAGAAGAAACCCAGTGCTTAAAAGCGGGACGTTTCGCAAACCCACAACTGACTGTTCCCGCCATTTTCATGGCGTCATGCAATTGCAACCAATGCTCATCTATACTTTTCGGTGGAGTGGTAGCTAGCCTAGAGGCTAGCTCGGTTCGATACTTACTTGCAACAGAAGTTGCAACCAGCTTGCTAACATCAATCCGTTGATGGCGTTCACTTCGTTGTCCACTGAAAAGTAAGGCAAGATTGGCGCAGACCAAGGCATGGTCAGAGTCCAGATAGGTACTCCAAAAGGAGCGGCAGTCTTGTACACAACCACGCCAGCGGTAGCTGATCGCGATGTGATCAATCTGAGTCCAGGCTTGAGATGCAGAGGGAGGACGCCAGGTGGCACATCGGCGATGACTGTGCCGAAAGTTAGTGCTAGCCAGAAACAGGTTGTGGTCTGCGCAAAGTTGCAGTAGACGGTCCCCGTTATCTGACCTGCGACCAACGAGTCCCCATCGGCCACCTAAACGACTCTCTTCTGTGCCTAGACGCCCGACCTGAGCATTCAAGTCTCCGGCTAGTACTACAATATCTGTCGAACGCACTTTCTGGAGAAGAACAGATAATTGGTGGTAAAACTCATCCTTGATTGCATCCGGGCTGCAATCTGTCGGGGCATAGGCGGAGATGACGAATAGACATCGTTTCTCACGCCGATTTCTTCTCACTTTGATGGAACTTTCTAATCTAACAGCACATAACCGACTGTTAATGGGGATCCAATCGACCAGTGCTGCCTCAGCTCTAGCGCTTAGTGCGACACCAACGCCAGCAAAACCAGACGAAGATGCCACAGGGTCCCCGGATAAGCGCACGTAAAACAAGCTTTTCGAAGCGACAGATGGAGATCGAATTTGTAGTACTTCGCCAGAGTCTTGAATACGGGTCTCGGATAGACAACACACGTCGATATTAAGACTTTCCAAAGACATAGCCAGCCCTATCTGTTGTCCGACCTGCATAAATGTGCGAACGTTGAAGGCAGCCAGTTTGAATGATGCACGTGGTTTCAGAAAATCTGCTTCAGTCCTCGTATTCGGTGGTAACATACAATTTTCAACCGGACAGTGACTCGAGAACGTTTAGATACAGTCGGAATTCCACCAAAGACGAGCCGCTGTATAAGTATAAAAGAAGGTGAATAATGTGGAAAATAATAATAATAATGATAATAATAACAATAATGACAATAATAGTAGTAATAATAATATTATTATTAATAATGACAATAATTGAAGTGATCATAATTTGAATCAATTGATTGTTTTTCAAAGCGACAAAAGTAGTTTCCATAGACATAAACAGTTCATCATTTGTGTGTGGGCTGTGATACTGCCCGGGTGCCCAAACCGAAGCAGGTGGTTATCTTAGGGGGCCACTCCCCGAGCCTTTGACCTAAAGGTCTAACCCACAAGGCAGTGGAGCATCGTAAGGAGATGCAGTCCCATGGTAGCCGGTGACCAACGATTGGTTCATACGCCATTCGTTCCCGCAGGATACTGGAGCCCATGTGCACCATTGGTTTGGAATCCGGTTAAAGCGCCGGACATTCGCTTCTCGTCCTCTCATTTTCGTAAACAACACCCCCGCCACGAGAAGGCAATGAGTAGGACTTCCCTGGCAGAGGCTATATACGCGTGGCCGTGTGAGAGTATTTCGAGAGGGAGAGCGGACTCTCCCCACTCTCGGCCGTACCAGGGCATTCAGGGGGCGATAATGTCATATAAGATGACTTAATTACTTACACCTGTTACTCCTAATGGAGCATAGGCCGCAGACTAGCATTCTCCAACCCACTCTGTCCTGGGCCTTCTTTTCTAGTTCCATCCAATTCTTGTTCATTTTTCTCATGTCTATTTCCATTTCCCGGCGTAATGTGTTCTTTGGTCTTCCTCTTTTCCTTTGACCTTGAGGATTCCATGTGAGGGCTTGTCTTGTGACGCAGTTAGGTGCTTTCCTCAATGTGTGTCCTATCCACTTCCAGCGCTTCTTTCTGATTTCTTCCTCCACTGTAATCTGGTTTGTTCTCTCCCACAGTTGGTCGTTGCTAATAGTGTCCGGCCAACGGATCTGAAGTATTTTGCGTAGACAACTGTTAATAAACACTTGTATTTTCTGGATGATGGGTGGCTTTTGTAGTTCTCCAGGTTTCTGCCCCATACAGTAGAACTGTCTTGACATTTGTATTGAAAATCCTGACCTGGAGTCCCTCCGGGGGCTACTGCCGGTCCCAAGCCCGGATAAAGGAGGAGGGTTGGGCATGGGGTTAGCGTCCCCATCCCATAGAAAACTAACTCGCTAAAAAAACGCTAACCAGAAAAATATATAAGATGACTACGATAGCTTAAATATAAATCATTCAATCTATAAAGTCTAAAACCCTCTCCAAATGTATCCACTTTAGCTACGAATTTTTCCTTATAGTTTCAAAACACTTATTATTGGACTTCACAATTGTATATATATATATATATATATATATATATATATATATATATATATATATATATACCCTCAGTTGATAGTCAGTATTATACAAAAAAATGATATGTCACAAGTTCATTTTAAATATCTGTCTCCGAACTTGATTTATTGAGTATTATATTTATTTTAGCTGGATGAATGCAACTACAGAGGGACTGCTATTCCCTCATTCAGAGTCGTTATCAATGATTCATTTACTTAGGCTTCTATCACCAATTTGTAGAACTTAGTTTCATGTTCTGTTTGGTCACCAGGAAAAAGTCTACACCATAATCTCTACACCTCAACAATAATTGTATCGTGTTTATCAAATATTTGTTAGATATTCCAATCTATTATTTATTCTCAGTCTTAATCACGAAATGATTTTAGACAGATCATCACTAAAAACGAGGAAGCACTGCATATCTCTTTCGTCTTAGTACAGGGTTCCTCAGCAGATCCTATCCAGGACTCCACTGGGATTAGGGCTCACGACCCTCGGTCTCTCGCGTTAGTGCTTAACCTCTAGACCACTGAGCTCACAATCAATGGTTTACATGTCTAATCTCACGATATTGAGCGACTGTCTTCCGTTGCCTGACATTGATAAGCGTCTCACTCGAAATGGTTGAACTCTGCTGATCGCGGCTTATTTGAAAACTCACTAAAGTGTGAACAACTTCTCCCCTTTTTTCAGAGTAAAAGTCACTTTTTTACTTAGGGTTGATGCTGAATTTAATGTAAGATATTTTGCGAATCAAAAAGCTCATAAAATACTTATATCACAAAAATATTTTCCAACATCACTGTCATCTTAATTTTTTTGTAAGAGATATTAATGAAACTACAAATTTATTAGATACTCTAATTTGACTCATGAGTTCGTTCAGTCAGAGGACAATTCATTTATAGCTATCCTGTATAATGTGATAGTATTTGAAACTAGCATTTTAGAAACTGTCAAAAGGGCCTAGTTGTTTATCTACAGTTTTCTTTCCATGGAACATTTCTATTACAATTGGTGAATTGATGATACAAGGAGTATTTTGAGACATGAAGTAATTTTCTTTCAATGAATCTAAAAAGTACTCTCAACTGATAACCGGTTTTGATCGTGGTCGTACGAGCAGTTTCATGTTTTGAACCGCTTTCATACGATTGTCAAAGAAAGGGTTAATGGACTTCATGAAGTCACTTGGTAACAATGATATAAACATTATACCCTTTGACCAAGTCAGTGGCTATCTGGGCGTCGTAGCTCAATAAATAACGCTTTAGCGTTTGAAGAGAAATGTAGCGAGTTTAAGTCCCAGTGTGAACACTAACACTAGGAGTGCAATCCATGTTCAACAAAGAAACCTTAACAATTTATATTTTTAGAAATATATTGCTTTAATTATATCATATTAGTAATAATGGGAATCGTCCTGCGTCTTTACAGTATTCGAACTTATCAAATGAACTAATTGTTTTAAATTGAAGTTGATATTGAAAGATCTGAAAATTCGGTTTTTTGTTTACTATGTTCCTGTCTTAAATAATTCTTTTTTTATTTTTCCTTTATAGTCCGAATTTGTTTCTATCCTACGAACTGGCGGTTCAATATTAACTGAAGTTGGCTCTGAAAATAGTTCATCTGTGGAGAATAAAATTTTCTATTCACATTCACCTAAAGATTCTATGATCAATTTAGCTGTAACTCGTTGTGTCAAAGAAAATACACCTAATAATAATTGTTTTAGTAAATGTATTTCCATACCACCTCTTGATAATCCAAGTTTAGTCGATTGTAGAGTTGGATGTTTATCGTCGGTAAGTCGATCAATTGGTGATGATGAAACAGCGGTTGGCTTGAACGCCTTACCATCCATAACAGTTTGGTCAGCAGCTAAACAACAACAATCAACGCATCATCGTAATAAGACAACAACAACATCAATGCCTTTATGCTTGATTATGGCAAGTGATGGTCTATGGGATGTACCTTGTTGTTCTGGTCCAGAGATTTCACTAATGGCATGGCATTGGTATAAAGAGCATATTTATCATAAAAAGGAATGTAAAAATCACCATTCATTTTCTGAATTCTTAGTTAATTTAGCTGTGCAAAATGGTGCATCAGATAATATAACATGTAGTGTAATTTGGTTACATAAATGGAAACCAACAAAATTAAAAGGTTGGACTGTTGATTGTCAATCATTAGCATCATCTAGTCTGGTTAGATGGCCTAGACATTCACGGGTTACTTCACTAGTCAATGTAAATTCCCCTACTGATATTTTCTTAAGAGGTCCACGAAAATGTATACCATCTAAAATGCCTCAGTTTGTTTCTCAACGATCTTATTCATTAAATAATATATTTGATAGTGATTTATCAACTCCACGTTATTCCAGTCCTCCACGTGATATTGTATATCATCAGCCTGATTGTATATCTTCAGACTAAATCAACTAACTGTTATTATTTTGTACAAATTGTATGTTTGTGTATTCATGTTATTCTTCTTCTTCTTCTTCTTCCAAAGTCTACTTTGTTTTCTTAATATTTCTTATGAATAAAACTTAATTTTTAACCATTGCGTATCCAATTGACTAATAATAATCATAACAACAATAACATATATCTACTGCATAAATCATTATACTACTGATTTATGACACTATCAAGTTAATGATATAACTGTGTGCAAAATAGCGTTTGCATTTGGGGTAAAAATTGTTCTTGTTTTTTTTTATTACTAACTTTCAAAGGTCAATTTCCGGTTTCTTATTAACGTTTTTTTTTCTTCAAAAATATTAATGTATTCATAGCAGTTTGTTTATTATTGTATTGTTCATTTTGTACTTTTTCGGAAAACAAAAAAAAAGTTTAATTCAACAATTTAGTTGTTGCCCTTTTTGTTGTTGTTGTTGGTGGTTGTGGTGTCGTTGTTTATAGAAGGAGTATGTGTTACCTTGTTCATATGTTTATGTGAACACTAATTAAGTTGTCCGCTTTCATAATACTACTGTTATTAATATTTATAATAATAGTGATAATTATAATTATTAGTATGTATTATACACAAAATAGTGTTATTTATATTGTTTGTTCCTTGTTGCTGCTGCTGTTGTTGTTGTTGTTGTTGTACGGTATAGAAAAGTCATTGGGAAGAAGAACGAATTATAGTCTTTCTACTGGTTTTCTATTTTTCAACTGTGTCCATGTTTGTGTGTATGATGGATAACTTACTCTTTCTTTTTGGTTTTCTTGAGTTTATCAATCAATGTTGGGTAGTTGTTTTTTTTGTTTTTCTTTTTAAAAAATATACTTCTATTTAGAAGATCTCAAACTATATAGTCGTTTTTTAAAAAAAAAATAAAATGACAGTTTGGATCCACAAAGAAGTTGTTGATAATTGTTTTTGAATTTATGAACTATTATTATTATTATCTGTTTAGTTGCCATCATTTTTAGTTTGTATGTATTTTAAGATCATATATGATACAGAAATGAATAGATTTATTCTTTAAGAATTCTGACTTTTTTTTGTTTGAATATAAAGCTTTTTTTAATGAACTTTTAGTTTCTTTCTTATCATATTGAAGATTATTGTTAATGTACTGTTTTTTTTGTATTAGTCTTCCGATCTATTGAGCTTACATAAATTCTCTTTCTTGTTGGAAAAATCTCTCAAACTATAAAGATTTGTTGCCAGATTCACATAGTTGAATAATATCTAGTTATAAAGTTTGACCCTGAAGAAGTGCAGACAAGTTAGCTGGACGAAATGTTGGAATTAGTTAAATTTCAATCGCTGAGAATATTTCAAATATAATTTTCACATATAATGACTTCTCTATACTCGGCGCTCAATTACTGTCAAACTATTCGTTCTAATCTTAACGAATATTCGTATAACTTATAAACAATAGTTTGTTTAACATAGTACATCTTGTTGTATGATTTCGAGAGATCTTAGCATGGTTGGGTTACTTGATGATCATGAAGTGAAAATACTTTTTTAGGTTTTTTTGATTGATTTCTAGTTTGCACATAATTTTATGAACTTAACACGATTTCTACATCGTTTTTTTAAGTAGAATTATTGTGTAGGAAGACTGCTGGTCACATAATTCTTTTGAAGTAATTGTTTAGTTGTAAAGTATTATTTTCAGGCTACTATGGATTCTTTCAATATTGTATGTGTGTTAATTATACTGTTTGTTTATATGAGCTGTTTGATGTATTAGTGCAAAACATTCCGGGCAGTCTAATCATACAAATGCACACTTGTTAAAAGCATTTGAATATGTAAAATAAAAGGTCAAATAGACATATTGAAGGATAAGAGAAAAATGAAAATAATAAAGAAAACAATGTGAAACTTGGCACGCTAGATAATAAATCAATATTACCAGGGTAGGTTCAAGGCGATAACAAACTGTTCTTAAACACATAAAGGGAGTTTCAACTTCCGTATGATGAAGGCTTCAATTAACAGTATACGGCCCTGAACACATACAACACTACAATGGCTGATTCCCTATTGTCCCTATGACCCATCTCAACCGAATGATCCGTGATGAAGAAAGAAATTTGTCTATCATGTGCTCTTATTTAACCATTGGGATTCGTTTATTTTTGTAGCTAATTAGGTGTTCCTTACAGCCATAGAAGTTGGTGAGGCTGTTTGACTTTTCTACATTCCCTCACAGAAGACATGGTACGGCTCCTGGGGCACGATAGCTTTCCCTTTTTTGCGTTCTTGGTTTTCCTTATCTAGTTGTTCCCAATCATCTATATACCACAAAGGAGTGTTGTATCACCTTTTTTCTGCTGGTAGTATTGTCATTCATCCGTTGTAGAGGGATTTGTGTATGTTATGCTTGTTGACATTATGGTTTGAAAGGTTATCTCTATTGGTTATGAGAGGGTTTTTTATTGTTGACAGTACATTACATAATAGGCGGAGATGGTTGATTGTTATCAGGGTGCGCATTTCGTCTTAGTTAGGACTCATGAATCAAATGTACCTGCATCCCGAAGTTGATGTTCACTTTAGGACTCCAACCCAGTACCGTTCGCTTCAAAAGCCTTCGCGTTACATCACGTAGTTCTGATAAACTTCTCATTGTATTATTCACATTTATCAAAAGAACTGTTTTAAATTTTTAATACTAAGATTCCCTGCACACACTATTAGGTTAGATTAATCTGTTAACCGTAAATGTAAAATTGTATCGAAGTGAGTGAAACTGTTTTTTTCTAAATCTCTTTTGATAAGTCACGATAATTAAGTAATGATAACTAACATTGTATTTCTGTAAGCAGTGGCTAAGCCTTCATAACTGACCAGAATCCATAAAGATCCCTCAATGAAGTCTCTGGAAGCTGATAACTAATCTGGAAGCGTTGTATCGAGGCAGCATTCAATAGATGCTTCATAGGAACACCTAGAAAAGTCAAGGGTTATGTATCATGTTTTAATTAAATAATCACTCTTGTTATTACCATATTCGGCATGCTTACAGAGGTTTCTAGAAGATCAATCTTATCTGAAAACTTATAAATGCACTTGACTTTTTGTACATAGAGGAGACTTAGAATCAAGTTTTCGCTCATATTTCGCGCTTTTCCTCTATTGTTCGAGTTGAAGTTTAGTCTGGTGTTGTAGGAAGTGGCTAGTTTAACAATAACATGTTTCTAAATCAATCTTTTGTACTTTATTTTGATCATGTGTTAATATAAATGAATATTTGAATCCTCTCTCGGTTTCATTTATAATATACGACATTGGGAAAAACAAAGAAAACTTATTAAAAAATTCATGAAACTAAGTGTTTGTAGTAGATAGAATTATGCTCATTCATTAGTAATTTGTTTTTAGTTGGAGAACGATTGTAAAAATAATGATACATCAACTCTGCAAACAAAAAGATTCTAATCGATATATTTTCTCAGTTGAATTCACGAGTCGATCTAAGCTAGATCACCATTGAAAATCTGGAAACATTGAACGGCCATTTTGCCCTATAGTGAGACTCAGCATTGCGCACTTACGATCCCCATGCGGGATTCGAACCCAGGACCTTTGACCTGACACGCAAACGCTTAACCTGTAGATCACTGAGCTGGCATCCAACGTTGTTAATGTCCAGCTTCAATCGCCCCATGACCTTGGTCCACCTTTCATCTATTGTCTGAGGTACATAACTGTTTCACATCCGACACGGATCGGACTCCATTAGTTACGGCTTCTCACTAGAACTCCAGAAGATCTATTTCGAAGGTAGTCATTAGTGAGCACATGATTACTATCAGTATGGGGATTTGTGGAGATTGTAGTATTTTCACAGATGAATTCACGATTCAAGTCCCGTTTAAGGGATCGTCGGTGTGCACTGCTGAGTTGTCCCATACTAGGTCGAAAAGGCCGTTCAATGCTTTCAAGTTTTCAATGGTGGTCTAGCTTAGATCAACTCGTGAATTCAACTGTGAAAATAATAGAATCTCCACAAATCCCCATACTGATAATAGATATATAATGTAAAGTACTTGTATGCCATAAATAAACTACGCAACAGTTGATACAAATTATAAAACAATCATTAAGCAGTTAGTTCCTCTGTTAAACTTTTAGACAGTTTAATGAGAAAACAAAGATCTTCAAAACTCAGTGATATATTAGCATAGTATATTTCGAACAATATGATCATGCATAAACTTGTTAAGGTGAGAATAAAGCTACCCTGATAATATTAGTTTATTATTCAACATGTTGAGTTTCATAATGTTCCTCGCATGATTCCTCTGTATAATCTTTGTTTCCTCCTATTTTCCATTTGTCTAGTTAACTTTTTAATTTTTCATAGATAAATGTTCTTAACAAGTATATATTTGGTCAAATTGTTCGAAATGTATTGTGCTAATATATCACATAGTGTACAATCGTAATTATTTTTAATAGTTGAATTCATGAATCAATTAAAGCTAGATCACCATGAAAAAAAACCCTAGTAGCATTGGATGGTCGTTTCGTCCCAATATAGGACTCCTCAGCAGTGCACATTCTGATTATAATTGTAATTATGTTGATTTGTTTTCTTTTTTCTACTTTTGAAGAAACAAAATTACAAATTTAAAAAAAAACCATGAAAATAAAAATAATTTCAATAACAAATATCCTTTATGAATTTGTATTCATAATTAGTCCAAACAGTCCAAATATTGTAATCTAATTATAAAGTCAGTAATCAGTTTCATTGAATGGATCCATTT